TTCATGTCCTGGAAATCTATTTGCATCTGTTTTGTGGATTCCATTTGTTTCCTATGTTGGGATTCCATCATGTTCCTGAGGTCCTCTCTAGATTTATTAATCATGTCTTGCACTAGGAGCACAATTTCTCCTGTTATCTGAGAAATTACTTCTGATTTCATTTTTTCCAGATTAGGCTTGAATCCTAACTCTCTTGTTTATTAGCTATATGACAATAGAAAGTAATATCCCTAAACTTTGGATCCATTTCCTACATTTGTAAAATTAAGGATTTTATGCCCTTTTTGTGACAAAATTTAATGCCAACAGTCTTTAATATGTGGCAGATATCCACTGTTTGCTGACATCCTTGTCACATGTACTGCCTTCAAATCTTGTTCTAGTATATTTTCATTAAAAATTAAAATTTGAATGGGCAGTTCCTAAGCTTTATAATTATATATTTCCATAAGAACTGAAAACAATGAAATTCAGTAAAATCATCTCTGTCAGAGACGTCTAACTGCCTACCCAACATCCATTTTATTCTTCTTCCATATTAAAACCCTGATTTTAATTTGGTAATAATGTGTCCAGCTTAAAAGTAAAATCACATTTCTAACTACTGCTTCAGGGAGAGAGGTGATCAATGAAATGTTGGAAATTACTGAATAGGGCTTCTAGAAAGCTCTCTCCCATTTCACTCATTGAGCTAATATACATGATTCTTTCCCTTCTCCTACTTAGAATGTGAATGTTGTGGTGCAGCTCCAGCTGCTACCTTTCACAAGGTGTAAGATATGACAAGGTGACAAGGAGAAAGGTGGAACAAACAGGTAGAAGGAACAAGAAAATCATGTGGAGCTGCCACACAGCTCTGGACTACCTAGGTCCAGGCTTCTTATTAAGAAAGAGAAAAATATAATGCTGTCTTATTTAAGATAAAGTTATTTGGATTGTCTGTCATATGCAAAATCATTCCCTAATTGATACAATATCCCAAAAAACTTAAGCAAGTTTACCTTTGCAGAACAGGAAGGGGCCAACAGGGCCATGTGTCTTCTGAGATTTTTCTCGCATTGCTTGGAAGGTGCTCTGGGCAGAGATAGTTTGAATCTGCTCCCCAGTTAGAGAGAATTTTAAGAATTCAGCTATTTGTTTTATGCCAGTGTCCAGGTTCTGAAAACCAAAATTTTAAAAGATAAACATCTTTCCATGGGAATATGCTGGAGTAAAGACAGACTCTTAAGTCAGGGTGGATTTATTCACCCTAACTCCCTAGTTCACCTGCTTATCTCTCTTCAGTCTTACTTTGGTACTTTATAAGCAGATCAGGTATCAATGGAAGATGTTCTATACCCATTGTATTTTGTTGTTTTAATTTATGACTTTTATTTAGAATATAAATAATGATAGTAGCATGTCTTAGTTACTTTTTTCATTGCTGAGACATGCTACATGACACCCACAAGTTAAAGGAGGAAAGGTTTATTTCAGTTCACAGTTTCTAGAGGTTTCAGTCCATACTCGGCTGGCTCAAAGGCAGGGTAGCATGGCAGAGGGGCATTGCCAAGGAGAAATGGCCAATGGCAAAGCAGGCAGGAGGCAGCAAAGCAGCAAGGAGCAGCAGCAGCAGCCTGGCTTCCCTCTTTTCCCCTTATATTTCATCCAGGCTATAAATCTGTTGATTGGTGCCATACACAATCACAGTGGGGCTTCCATCATCTACACCCTGAACTATGTTAAACTCATTTAGTTATCACATACCATTAATCCCAATATCACACACCCTAGAGCCAGCCACCTTTGAAAAGCCCCATCTCTGAGTGCATGAGGCTTTGGGGAAATCTAGATACAGCCATAACAGAACAATTAGTAGGTTGGAATTTTACCTAGGATATTTATTGTATTGAAAAGCACTAGCCTGGATCAGCTGAGAAAATTAATGTATTTGTATGTGCTCATTTGAATTCTCTTTTCTCCAGAATCTGATCTGTAGCTAATGCTTAATTCTACCAAGAAAGTCTAATTTTTAGAATCATAAAATGAAGGAACCTTGAAAACTATCTTGTCTAACTGCCTTTGTAAATTGCAAACCACCCAACACTGTGCCTGACTAATGGGGATTCATAAATCTTCTAGAACAGTTCCTTAAACCATTTTCTACAAAACACTAGTAAATATTTCTTAAAATCTTAAAATAGTTAAAATATGTCATAGGGGAAAGAAAAGGAGGAGGGAAAATTGAAATCAAATACATTTAGAATTCTTCAGATTAAACAAAGATTAAGATTATTTTTTACTGTACCTCTCAAGAGTCTTTAATATACCAAGATAGAATGTGACTCTCTAGAGGAGCTGGCTATATAATGCCATACTGCCTAAATCTATTTGTATAAACAACCCCTTTCCAATCCCCAAGAATTATTAACTGGTTTTCTACAGAGCATAAGTTTCGGAAAGATTTTTCTAAACTAGAGAGAAAACTAAGCTAGAATGCTCTTCCATGCTGTATAAATGCATCCTATAAGCAGGAATAATGATTCAATTATGCTTACCTTCTAAAAGAGTGTCATAGGAAACTGGTTTTAACTCAACCTAGGAAGCATTTGACATAGTCTCTTCTCTAACATACTTTCTTCAGTGGTGATCCGGGACTTTGGTTTTCCTCCTACCTCACTAACCACACCTTCAGTCTCCTCTGCTGATTCATCTCTTTTCCCATACTCTCTATTGGAGTGCTCCAGTGCTCAATTCTTGGTCATCTTCTCTATCTGTATACCTGGGCATGTATCTCATAGATTTAAATGCATCTGTGTGTCAAGGATTCCCAAATTTTATCTACAGTCTGTAATGTTCTCCACTGAAGATTTTTATACTCAACTGACTACTTGACCTTTTCATATGGATGACAAATAAACATTTTCAACACTGCATCTAGAACCAATCTCCTCATTTCCACCAAAGTCCTGCTTCACATAGCATCACCTCCTAATCAATGAATGGCAACTCAGCTCTTACACTTGGTCAATAATATTAAAATCTTATTTGACTCCTCTCTCTCTCTCACTACCTCTCCTCCATCCAATCTGGCAGCAAACCTATTGGCTCTTCCTTCAAAATTTATCCAGAAGTCAGCCACTTCTTGTCACCTGCATTGTCCTTCTTGCTCTGGGTCACCATTTTCCCTGGTGTAGACTAGCACAGTAGCCTTTCTGCAGGTCTCCCTGAGATATTATTGCTCCAATCCACTCTTCAACACCACCATTAAATACACATTACCTCCTGTCACTCTTCTGCTCAAATACTACAATGCCTTCCCATATCACTTAGCATGAAAGCCAGACTCATTTCATTGGCCTGCCGCAACATTCCTTATGCCTCATTCTGCCCTCATTGGCAATGCTGTCTTGGTTTACTCTTACTGGCCGAGGCGAGGCACATCTGCTTCCTTGCTGCACCTCAGTTACACCAGGGACGCCTACCTTAGGGCCTTTGCACCAGTTGGTTTCCTCCACCCAGAATGCTCTTCCCGCAGTTACTAATTTGGCTCCCTCTCTCACTTTCTTTAAATTGTTACCTAAATCACATCCACTTAATGGGAACATCTCACGCCATCCTATTTTATACTGAGATTTGTCCACCAATTCCTCGCCCTTTGGCATTCCCAATTTTCCTTTACAGCTATGCTGCTTCTTTCTTCTCACATACCATATACATTTTACATTTTGTTGCATCTGTTATTTATCATTCTGGTTTTTTTTTTTTTTTTGGTACTGGGGAACCAGGACTTTCGAACTCAGGATCTTGCTTGCTCTTCTTGCAAGGCAGGCATGCTGCCACGGAGCTAAATCCCTGGTCCTGTTATTTATCATTCTGGCTCCCTGCTTTCTCCAGCTAGAAGGGAAGCTCATCCAGAGAGGTGAACTGTCTGGTTTATTCATAGACTTACCACATGGGCCTAAAACAGTGCTAAGAAGTCTCCCACTCAATGTTTGTTAAGTGAACAAAAAATTTTTAAAAGAACATTTATTGGCTAAAAAGCACTTCACAACCAAGTGCATGTTTAATTAAATCATCTGAGACTTATTTATTTTTTCCACTGTTAATGGAAAACTTTGGCCTATCCACAATAAAAGGAAAATATAATAGTTACCATTAAGTTGCTAAGCTTTATTTTTATTTCTGTTAAATAAACAATCTAAGCATATATACGGGGCTGGATTTTTTTCAAATACTGTGCTGCATATCTGGAATATTTTTAAGTTGAACACCATATTTTTTCATACTACAACCAGACATTATAAGTAATACTTTATGTAGTAGTTTATAATAAATTTTTTTCTAGAATCTAAATAGTCACAGTCTCACCTCTTTCAGGTCTTCATATAATATGAGCTTGACATTTTCATCATCAAGATGTTTGTTCCAGTTAATTGCAAAATCAAAATAGCTTCCCCAAGAAACTAAAACACAGGGAGGAAAACTTCATAAGGAATTTTACATAACTGAGGTAAAAATGATAGATGGTTAATTTATGCTATAAAATATAAATTATGCATATATGTATATGCTCACACAAGATCTGTTTATAAGTTATTACAAATCCCTGTACCAAAAGAGGTGATATATACCAGTTCCATTGTTCAATTTCTATTTTCTTATCTTCTCGAACAGTTTCCTTAAATAGCAAAAGTAAAGAAATTGTGAAAATTATTTGAGAAAAAGTACAAGACAGCTGGGTGTGGTGGTGTAGGCCTGTAATCCCAGAAGTTGGGAGGCTGAGGCAAGAGGAGTTGCAGGAGGATCACCACACAAGTTCAAGGCCAGCCTGGACTGTATCATGAGTTCAAGACCAGCCTGAACTACACAGCAAGACCCTGTCTCAAAAAAAAAAAACAAACCACCAAACAAACAAAAAACTACAAGACATTCATGAAAACAAGGGACTAATAATGAATGATACATGAAAACTGACAAAGATAATACCAGACAGAAAGAAATTATGAGGAAGACATTATCTACACCAGCATTGTCCAAAAAAATATAACACAAGCCTATACATGTGATTTAAAAGAGCAAAAGATACAGGTAAAATTACTTTTAATATTTTACGTTATTTGCTGGGCATGGTGGAAGACATTTGTAATCTTAGCACTGGGCTGAGACAGGAGGAACTCTGAGTTCAAGGCCAGCCTGGGCTACATAGTGAGTTCAAGGCCAGTCTGAATTACAGAATAAGACTCTGTCTCAAAAAAATTTTTTTTTTACTTTATTTAACCTAATATGTCCAAAAATGTTATCATTTATCATAATCATAATCATTAATAAAACATAATGATCTTATGTTGCTATTAGCAATACTTGGTATGTGTTTAGACAACATAAAACTTACTTTTGCAAAAGCATATTCACACATCCGACTTAGTAAAAATAACTGAATTGAGTACTCGTTTTAAAATTTCTATCAACTAAAATTAAATAAAATTGAAGATTTAGCTCCTCAATTACAATAGTCATATTTCAAAGGCTCAGTTACTACACATGGTTAGAGGCTACCACATTGGACACTGCAGATCTAGACATTAACTGTGTTGTTTATGAGCTGTGTGACTCTGAATAACTCCTTAAGCCTTTCTCCCCCTTACTGTCCTCATCTGTAAAATGGGGTCATTATAGCTGTTGTAGTGACACATGCATGTAGTCCCAGCACTCTGGCAGGCTGGGGTAGAAGGACTGCAAATTCAACCCCAGCTCATGTTTACATTTTAGTTCTACTACTTAATGCCTATGTGACCTTTCTTTGCCTTTATTTCTTTCCTTATGAAATGGGGATAATAATAGCATTATCCTCAGAGGGTCCTTGTGAGAATTAAAATTAAGTACCGGGATTTATCCTAGTGCCTGGAATATGATAAAATGCTGCATCTTATCATTGCCAATCAATTCATTAGGTAGAAAGAATGTATTCCCTAATGTAAATTTTCCCCTCTAACAACTTTCTTGTCATTTAATGTCTTGTGTTATTACTGGAGTGGCATTTCAGATTTGCCTTAACTGTCTCTGAACAGTCTTAGTGAAGAGTCAGGGGACAAACCAAAACATTCGTAATGGCGCTTCATAGGTACTTTCTACGGGCTTTCTTTCTTCAACCCCTATATTTAATTTTTGCTTGGGAGCCAACACTACATCCGGTGTCCGTGCATATGAGATATTGTGAATTTGATCACCTTTAATGTGCTCTTTTCAAACTGCAACATTTATATATGCAATGGAATGCTACTCAGTCTTTAGAAAGAAGAATATCCTGCCATTTGCATCAACATGACACACACACAAAATGCTACATAAGCTCATTTATATGTAGAGCCTAAAAAGAAAGTTAAATGCATAGAAAGGGAGTAGGGTGTTGTTTTTCAGGGGTGAGGAAGGGGAAGGAATGGGAAGATGTAGGTTAAAGGGTACAAACTTGTAGTGATACAGTTTTTCATTATTTATGAATAAATTTACAGATCTTACATACAGCATCAAGACTACAGTTAATAATATGGTACACCTAAAATTTGCTAAAAGAGTAGATTTTTGGTGTTCTCTCTACACACATAAAAAGGCCATGCTAGTGTGCTTGACTGTAATAATCACTTCACTGTACATATGTAGTGAAAACATCTTGTGCACACAAATATACACGATAAAAAAGGGACTTTTTTTGAAAAAAGAAAAGTGGTTTCTTGGAGTGAACTGATAACAGCTTCTCCGCTCTGGGGTCATCTGTCATCAATTCTACCATCGACTACACTGTAATTGCTCAAAGCTGCCACTAATTTATTTGGGTTATTTATCGCCATCTGGCTGCTATTCTGAGAAGCAGAATTACTTATGAGCAGTGGAACAACTGGCAATCGATTTAACTTTTTTGCTTAGTTTCCTCATCTGTGAACAGGGACTTTACTTACAGTTTGCTATGAGACTTAAGTGAAATCATGCATATATAACACCTAATTTAGTACCCAAAGAAGTACTAGGCACTCACAAAATTGTGGTTTTCAATAACCAGAGATTAACATGGTCTAATAAAAACTCATTTCCTTTCTGGCAAACAAATGTCTTAGGTGTAGTTGCTCAGAGGCAGGGTTTTTAAGAACTTTTTGGTTTTTAATCATTGTGTTACACAATGACTTAAGGGAAAAGAACCAGAAATGCCTTTCTCTGTGACTCTGTTAAAAGTCTTTTTGTCCCACATCTGTTCTAAACCCACACAATATTCATAGTTAACACATAAATTGTTCAGATTATTTTAAAAAGCATTGTAATTATTTGGTGCACAGAACTAGTGTTGTCATAACATCTATTTAATGTAATTTTTGTTTCCTGGATATGTATTTCTTTCTTTACCCCAAAGTACCGTTGAGTTTCATGTTTAGGCAGTTATCTATTGAAGTAAGAATTCTTTTACCGACAGCTGTACCTTGTCCTTTCATGAACTGTTTGAAGAATTCATCCCAGGAGGCATAGCTTGGAATATCGGGAACATCATTGTGGAAATGAAAAAAAGATACTGCCGTATCTTTAGGGTTTCAAAATATCACCAATATCTAGGGAGCAAAAACTAAGTTAATTTATTTACATCTGTGTTTTAAAATTTTGAAAAGTGAAAGGGTGAACAATATCAATATAACAGTAATAACAGAATAACAGAAAGAGAGATGGGGAAATCTAGGGAGAATGGAGGAAGAAGGAAAAGAAGATGGATGTTATAACTGAGGACTTTTGCTAGTTATGAGTTTACATAGTAGAAAGGCATATGTGTAGGAAATATAAAAAAAAAGAAAAACAAAGCAACGTGTTAGGATAGTCATAGGTATACAATCTGAAAGGTTAACATCACAAATGAAATAAAAATGTTAAGGATGAGAGAAATGAGGTTTAGAGTTTGTGAGAGAAAATGACAAGGCCACGTTTGAGGGGACATAAATGAAGCAGACCTCTAGGAAAAGTGGGAAAGGAACACTAAGGAGCAAACTGATGAGGGTGTGCTTTGAGAGTTGTCACATATTGACATGCCAATGTTCTATGGACCTTTTATAAAGGAATATATTTTTAAAGTGAATATATTGCAATGTACTGTGAACTTGTAGTGTGCTTTTAAACATCAGTGTTTGTACAGTGTAAGTAAATCATGGAAATAAAATTATTTAATTTTAAAAAAGAGCAAACTGAAACCCAAGAGAACTGAAAGATTGGAGGAGAGTACATGGCTGCTCCACATGAGTTCAGACTTCTGCTCTGATGCTTTCTAATCAAACCGAGGAAATGCAAGACATGTTACTGAGCACATTAGTGAGCTCTGAGGATTCTGAAATAACACAGAAGAGGTCAGATGACTGAAAACAGGAAGGATTCATTTCGCTTTCAGAACACGGAAGACACAGATTTTTCAAAGTTCAGTTATGAGTCTACAGATTTGAGGTCACACAGAGGAGGAAGCAGTGACCAGCACAGGGCAACAAGGATCCTCTAAGAACACGTCCCTGCTGACTAACACCAGGATTTCTTGGAAAATCATTTCGAGATTAGTAGATTGAGTGGTGTTTAATTTCTTCTGTGAAAAAGGGAAGAAGCAGAAGCTATTAGGCATATCAAACGGACTGGATACTCAAATGCAAAGGCTGAATAATGAATGTAGACCTGCTTAGAGGGTTTTGTCTTGAGGGAACCATAGTTAATTTCATGTGTGATTGAAGTAAAGATACAGTGCTATTTTTTTTTTACCAAATTCATAGATAACATGAAATGGAGAGGGGATTTCGATCTCAAAACATTTGTGCTGTGAAGAAACGAACTAAAACTAACAGAAACAAATTTAATGGGGTTAAATGGGTTTGGGTCTTGACTTTAAGCCCTGATCTAAAATTCACCCTTCCTCCAACCCAAATATGGTACTTCTTGCCATTTGAAAGTATACTTAATTTACAATTTCACAGACATGAACTTGAAATGAAATGTGAGGACCAATTGGCGGTTATGTGGACAAATCTCCAGAACGCACCTCTTACCCTTCTGTTGCTCCTTCTTTGCCCTGATGTTCTTGTGAAAGTGGTACTCTTCATAAGCCTGCATGCTGCAGCTTAAATGGTTTATGAATTACTTCAGCTCAGTTTCTTATAGAATCATTGAGTCTCGTTCATTAAGAGAGCAGCTTAGATTTGTGATTATGTTAACTGCATTAAAAGGGGGAAATTATATGTTAAAGTGTTATTTCTGATTTTTTAGATTCTCTACATAAGGAAAACTGAGCTGTCCAAGGCTAGTTTAGGAAATAAAGGCATTCCTTTATAATAGGAGGTGCTCAGTCTTGATCAAGACAACCACTTAGAGGAATTCAAACCCCTTAATGGGCATTACAGTGACAATGTTTAAGGTGTTTCCAAGTTCTGGGCTCCTAGGATTCTTGTACCATGGCCACAAGGTTGCTATTTTTGGTACATCTTAGGTATAAAATATGATGACATTCATCACTGGGAATTTGTACCTTTACATGTTATATCTTGGCTCTTCTTATTATTTTTTGGGGGAGTACCAGGGATCAAACTTGGGACTTTGCACTTGCCAGGCAGGCGGTAGAACCACTGAGCTAAATCCCCAGTTTGGTTCTTATTTTTAAGGTTGCTATTTTTAAGTCCCTACTTCCCTAATGTTTTCCTTCCTACTCTTTCTTTTCTTGTCCTTTATTTCTACCTCTTAGCATTGGGAATTAACACATCTGTTTTCTTCCTTTGCCTTTCTTTGCTGTGTCTTCATTATTCTCTCATTATTTGTTGTGGTATTTGAGAGTTTAAGCCTTGATTTTAACTCATTCTTGTCCATTTCTTCTGAGACGGAGAAAATAGGTACCAAGAAATAAGGAGTGAGGCAGGAGAGTAGGGGACAGAAAACAAAAATGCCTGGTTAAAAGTCAGTAATCATACGACATACATTGACACTGATCGATGAAACAAGATTTTTAAACAAGTGATAAGAACAGCCAAAGCACAGACGGTTTTGTATGCATGACATAAATTTTTTTATATGTGAAATGCCAAAAAAAATAATTTCAATTCTCAGGCAAAGAGTGCTCACCAGAAAGAACCAACAGAAAAAGTTTATTCATCTTATTCTGTCATATTCTTTTGTTAAACACTCTGAATATCTCAGTGAAATCTATAAATTATAAAACCATTATAAAACACTGTACATTCCATTCTTTGCCTATGTTTTATACACTAGTTGAAAATGTCTTTGACTCGGGTACATTGTAGCATATACAGCAAATATATCTGAAGAAACAATAAAAGAAATGGGAAATCTTGCATTTACTTAATTCTGTGATGAGGAGCAAACTCATCATGTACTTCAAAGAGCCACTATCTAGAGGCCTGGGAACGTTGCTCAGTGGTAGAGCACTTGCCTACCATGAGTGAGGCGTTGGGTTCAATCCCTACCATAGTGCCGTACACACATACAAAAGCTGATATTTATTTGTTTATTTATTTATTTATTTATTTATTTATTTATTTATTTATTTTTGGGTACCAGGGATTGAACTCAGGACCTTGTGCTTGCGAGGCAGGCAGCGGAACCACTGAGCTAAATCCCCAGCCCCAAAGCCAATATTTACATACAAAAATGAAAAATTCAAATATCAGTAGGAAGGGACACTTACCTTGGCTTTGTTCTTCAAGATGAACCGAGGTAATTTGTCATAATGGAGGTGTGTTGTTAAAATCCTTGGTGATGGAAAATGTTTCATTCTCTTAAAAATATATACAATAAGGTGACATAGAGTGTGTGTGGTGAATCACCTCTAAATATGGTGTCTAAATGGCGGCTTCAAGTATTGCTATCACTATTTCTTTTCCCCTTGCTGCCCCTCCTATTTTTCTAGCTGAGGAATGAAGAATCAGAAATAAACAATTCATCAAACTCTCTTCTTGAATCCCGCTTACCATTTATCAACATCTTTTTTCCATTATGGGGTTTTCTTTGGTCTTTTCCCATCATTATATGAAATCTATTTTGTTCAAAACAGCTCATAATCTGCAATTCAATCTTCCACTTATTTGGATCTCTTCAATATTCAAGGTCTTTAACAGAAATAGTCAAATCTTCCCAGTTTCTGTGAATCTATTTTTAACATCTAGATTTTTTGGCCTACTAATTTCCATGTAATGAAGTATCCCAGCAGAACCTAAAAGTTCCTGGTCACTTAAATATCTGAGAAATATTTTACAAGAGAAATTCATGTCAGTCTGAGGACTATGACGTGATTGATACTATTTTTACTGATTTTTTATTTTTATTTTTTGCAGTACTGGGGATCAAACTCAGGACCTCACACATGCTAAGCAGGTACTCTACCACTGAGATGAGTTACATGTCCAGTCCTCTACTGATACTTTTTTAAATGAAGTTTTTAATTTAATTTTCCAGGGTAAAAGGCTTTATCTTAAATTCAATCCTTTAGAATATGTTATGTGGGGAAGTAAGGGTTCACATTTTTCAATCTCATATTTGTAGAGGTCACAAGTACTGAGTCACAGCTACAGCACACTCATTTCAAGTGATAAAATGATATTTAAGCATCTATAGCCAGCTGTTCCATAAAAACATACTGGCGATCTCAACTCAAGCAAGGGGATAAAAAATGAGACTTAGGGCCAGGGATTTAGCTCAGTGGTTCCGCCGCCTGCCTTGCAAGCACAAGGTATGGAGTTCGATCCCCAGTACTAAAAAAAAAAAAAATGAGACTTAAAGAATAAAAAGTAGTTTAAAGCAATGATACGGGTCCAAGTGTTGATTAGTAGGGATATCTGATTTATATAAAATTATACTTTTTAGTATTTGAAGTACTTTTACATTCATGCACAGCCGTCCTTTCAGGCAGATATCAGAACCCCCATTTTGGAGATTAAGAATAGGCTTTGAGGTTTTAAATGCTTTTTACAAACTCACACAGGCAGTAATTTTCAGATTACATTATAGAGTACTGTTTCTACTAAACCACATGGCCCAAAATCATATTATGATACGTGAGAAATCGCAAAGTTACTAAAAGGCTTAGAAAAATATCCAAAGGAAAATGGAAGTTAACTGTCATGAAACTAAATATGTAATACTATCTTCTTGAAAATATATGATAGCCAACTGTAAACAATGTAAAGACCAACTACTATACTGTGCTTATAGAAAATATGTGCATTCTAGAAGTTTTCTGTAAACTGGATTGCTATTTAAAAATAAAGGACACATTGCATAGAAAAGTACCTTTGTTCCTAGATGTAATGAAATTACAACTAAAATACAAAAACAAGACTTTAAAGTATCTGAAAAAAATGAACATTTCTAATTAAACATTTCAAAACCCAAAATACTATACGGACTTAGGCCTTTATCCAGAAACCCTAGAGCTAAGAATTTTTGCCTCCTTCACTTGGTCCAACATTTTAAAGTTAATTTACGTGTTTCTAGGAGAGTTCATTGGCTTTGAAAGTCATTTCGATTTTTTTTTTTTTTGGTACCGGGGATCAAACTTAGATCTTTTTTACTAAAACTGGAAATTCCTTGAACAGGAAGTACAACTTTGCCTTTCACAAAGCTAAGAGTTAGACTGCAAGTTTCTAAAGACAGAAGCAATGCTTTGCTTTATATCTGCACTGCAAGAGTCAATGAGACAAAAAGAACCCTGGCTTAGGAACAGTAACACCAAGTTTTCCAAGAGGACAGAGGTTCCAAGGGTACTAGGTGGGTGCTAGTTAAGTCTTGGCATGTCAAAATCTTGATCAAGAATAAAATGGGCTGGGGTTTTAGCTCAGTGGCACCACGCATGCCTCACAAGCACAAGGTCGTCTGTTTGATCCCTGGTTCAAAAAAAAAGAATAAAAACTGTTCCCAACATCAGTAAGCAATACCACAGGACATTCCCTACTTATAAATGGCTTATGTTACAAAGTATTGTTTGAGATAACTTGTTTGGAAATTAAAATAGACTTTCTGGAGATACAATCCCATAAATAATGAGAAAACTTACGTCAGCATCCCAAACTATGTTTCAATCATAAGATAAAAACAAAGGCAAATACTGTACAATATGAAAAATTACATCAGAAATGTAAATAACAAGTAAAAGGGCCCATAACCCATGATATAATAAGGTGTTTTTTTTCTTTTTCTTTTTTGATATCAGGGATTGAATTCGGGACCTTTTGCTTGCGAGGCAGGCGCAGTGCCACTGAGCTAAATTCCCGGCCCCCGTGATAAGGTTTTAAAAGAGGGATTGGGAAGCTGGACAAATATTAGCATCATTTCTGAAGGTGAAGTTAGGATTCTTCTTAAGAGAAATTTCTCACCTAAGAAGAGACTTTTTAAAACTCCTAGCCACCAGTCCTGCCTGCATGTGTGAGACTGTCCTGACTCAGCCTCCATTAGGTGTGCTTAGGCCCAGATGGTCCTCGCAAGTGTGGAACCCAAGGTGCTTATGTGGCTTCTGGCCCTTCTGATGTCTCCCAAGAGTCCTTTGTTGCCAACCAGATCCAGGATTCAGTGGTTGCTTTCCCTCGCCCGGCCCCCAAATCCCTCAATATCTCCTTCACTCACACTGTGCTTTTCTGCTACTTTGGCGCAGTCCATGGAAACAAGCTTCCTTCCACCTAGGTTCTAACTTTTATGTTTGTATTTTTCATCAGGCCAACTGTCATGGTCATTTTCCAGAAGCTGTCTCTTAAGTCCCAATCCAGTGGCTTCTTTCATAGTAACTGGGTTCCGTCTGCCTGTGGGGAATGCTGGTGTGAGCACTTCTGAAAGCTTTATGGAGAGGTGGCCCCTGAATGGAGCCCACTCTCTCCAGTGCGTGCGTGCGTGCGTGCGTGCGTGCGTGCGTGTGTGTGTTCCTCCTCCCTCCTACTCCATCCAAGTACTAGGACCCTGGGTCAGGTTCTCCCTCCTACCCCTCTATTGCCTTCCCTGGGGAGGAAGCAGAAGATCCTGCATCACACCTAAGTCCCAGTTAGTTCTGTTGGGAGGGTAATAGCCTATGGTAAAGCAAATAATTACAAGTAGGGCTGCCTGTTAATATTTTTTCACACACATCAGTGACTTGATTTCTTAGTTACTATTTATTTGGTCCTACTTACCCTTCACACACACACAAAAGTCATACTTGAGATAGGGAGATAAAAAATAATGGGGATGTAAAAAGGAGTTAAGATGAGTTATTTACATGGCCAATTCCCTATGATGACTGTAATTATTCAGTACTGGGAACATGTACTAATAAAAATAAAAATTGAAAAAAAAGACTCATTAGGAAAGGGCATTCCTACTAGCATTCTTCCTATGTCTCTTTCTTCAGAGATAACACTTTTTTGTTTTGTTTTGTTTCAGTTCATTTTTTGAGATTGTTCAACTGACTTTCTCCCTTACTTAGAAAAGAAGAACAACAATGTTATAAAGAGTAGTTTTTAAGAGCTCATATCAGAAAGCTTGGGTTCAAATTTGGCTGGCACTTCACCTTGGGCAAATCTTTAAATTTTCTTTTGGGAATGGTTTTGTGATAAAAATACGTTAATATCTGAAAACTTTGGAGGCTAAGGTAAGCACATATTAAACTGCAATAATTATAAGTATTACACTTTCTGAATTTCACACTAAATCTCTGAAATGGAAGAAATCTTTCTATGTTAATTTGCTGTAACTTTAAAGGCTGTTTGTACTAACCTCATATTTTTCCGAGTCTCCACATTCAAGAACCGGGAATTCTGGATATTCATATCTTTTTTTAGAAACAGTAAATATTAATTCACTGACAATGTGGAGAATCCAGTTTGAGCCTATAAGAAAAACCAGAAAATTAAAGCTCACTAAAGAGTTTGAATAACAAAAACACGTTACTTTAGCGTGTACATAATGAAAAAGTTACATCCTCAATGTGTACATTTAGTTATTCTGTGTTTGAAATAGCTGAGCTATGGAAACAGTTTTGCATAAAACAATATTTACTTTTTGATGGGGGGCAGTGTTAGGGAACAAACCCAGGCATGCCAGGCAAGCAGTTTACCACTGAGCTACATTCCCTAGTTCAGCATTTACTTAAACATTAGTGTAAAATCTAATTTACCTTAAAACCTGAATTATTTTATCTCTCAAATTGCCTCCTTTAACAAGAAGTAATGATTCTTTCTGAATCTAGACTATGTTCCTTATTGAACAATGTTATGTTCTAGAAATAGTTTTCTTATTAATGATCACCTATGTAATACTATCTTTGGTTAATGAATATTTTGAATATTTTCTACAGGAGTGCATGCACTTTTTTCTTCTGCTTTGGTGTATTAAAGATTCAGCCTAGGGCCTTATGCATGGTAGGTATGTGTGCTACCACTGAGCTACACCCCCAGTCCCAGAGTGCACAGTTTTGACCATACATATATAATTGTAACAAATATTACATTATATATATACATATAAATAAAATTGGTTAAGAGAGGAAAATGTCAAATGAAGCTGGCTTTAGCAAGCAACACTTAAATAGTCAAAAGTAGATCATGTGAAATAGGATAATTTAGATTCTTAACGTCTTCTCCTCTGTTGACGGAGGACCTTTGTAAAAATTATTTGAGAAACTGGAGGATTGATGTTTTATCCTAAAAAATAATCCATTACATGGAAATCGTCATATAAATGATAGAAAAAGCCACATTTTTATCTTCAAATATCAAGATGAAAATTTCTATGACTATCAGGCTCAGTGGCAACTGGACTCCCTGACTCCATATTTCATCTTTCCAGACCCACTTCCATTTCCTTTTGCCATCCATCCTCCACTGTATTCTTTCTACATAGATATCTCCCAGACACTGGGGTTTTCATTCTAGCACTTCCAGCAGTCTCTTTTACAATCTATATACGTAACCATTGTAGAAGTGGTCCTCCACGGATTTCCAGCTAGCTTCAGGCAGAGGTGAAGCACCTCTGTCCCAATTTGGTCTCACACCCTCCCCAAACCAGTAAGTAGGAAAAGTCCACTTAAAGGAAATGTTATTTACCACACTTTGGGTAGGATGCTAGCACAATGTCATTGCTTCTGGCTTCGAAAGTCTCCAGCGCTTGGAAAGTTTCGGAGGTACACATGGTGAGTGGGTAAGGAATCCCCTCATAGGTGAAAAATAAGTGAGAAAGTGCAGTTTCTTTTGATTTTTCTAAAGCATCATCAAGGTACTCAATAAATTTGGACTTAGCCATGCTGACTCCCTGCTAATGAATCTGCTTCGTGGTTGTCCAGGTGCACTGACTGCTTTTAATGGAGTCTTTCAGAAGCTAGAATAAAAAGCTCCTCCCACTCACACGAAAAAGAAATTATTTAATGCTCATCCACCTCATTCCCTTTCACATACCATTCTCTGAAAAAAAGGGAGCCACAGGTGCAAAACAAGCTGAGGATCCTGGAATATTACCTCAAGGGCTGATTATGTTACCTCTTAGACAACCCACTTGATAAAAGTAAGAATAAAATCTCCTAATAGAAGATTAATAGACATTAGATATCTAACAAGTAGATATTTATTTGAATCAGGCACATGATTTTCCTATTAGCCATTCACAAGTGAAACCTCAGTTTTCTTCTTGGTTGGCAGCTTTCCACACACATCCTACACAATATGACAAGGAAACTATGGGGTTGTAAGGTAATGGAGTGAGGTGGAAAAGCACCCCAATCTGGGGGCAAACCTGGGCATCAGGCTTAGATCTGTCACTTACTGGCTCAATATATTTAGAGATATCTTTGTTACCTATTTCACAATAGGGCTGTGTGGTTCATAGAACTGCTTCGTGAGGTGGGAAGCTCAATACAGTGGGGTCCTCAGCCCTCTGAGCTCAGCTCCCTGCTGGGCAAGGTCTGTAGATGAGATGCCCACCCTTACAACAGTCTCCCCAGCAGCCAATCTTCCCTTTTCCCTTGGGGAAGTTGGGTTATAATTCCTGCCTCCCTTGCAGCTTAATGTGGCTCTGGACTAGTGGGAAGCGGGGAAGTGAGCCTTAGCTAGGTGTCCAACTTCCAGGTCTTCTCTTTAAGGCAGGAAGTTGATGCTTTTCCAGTTTTGCTCTATCCCCTTTCCCACATCTGGCCAGCAGACATGATGCTTGAGAGGTAGACTTGGTAATTTGGAGAAAAATATCATTTCAGGTGATAGTAGACCCACAAAACAGAGGAAATTGGGACACTGGGCAACCTTTGGATATAGTTCTCTCATCCCATGATCCACACCGATAACAAACTTCCTTCTGAATTGTATTTGAAAGAGTACATTTGTTTGAGCTGCTGATTTGTTGGAGTCTCTCTGTTACACCAGTGTAATCTATACCCTATCTAGTATGCTTTTTGGGTCAAAATTTACTCTTTGACCTCTTTTAAGTAACATTTCCATAAACATAGGCTGTACTTTTCTTATTTCTTTCCCACTCTATTCTTCATATAGTGCTTCTTATCAGGCATTTCCTCCCTGACCCCCAAAACATTATGTTTTACTATATTCAATCTTCAATAACATAACAGTAGCTGGTTAAGAGGTTAATCTAGTTAGGCATAATTGCCTAGCTGTATAGTCATTTATGGCTTAAAATAGTAGCTGGCATCATTGAGACTTGCATGTACTGCTAAGATTATATGAATGGGGCCAGGGATTTAGCTCAGTGGTTCTGGCGCCTGCCTTGCAAGCACAAGTTCCCGGGTTTGATTCCCGGTACCAAAAAAAAAAAAAAAAGATTATATGAATGATTTAATAGACCTGTGACACGAGTGTCACTTTGTTACCTTTTTACAGGGGGTTGACTGAGGCCCATAAAGGCAAAGTAACTAGTCAGCTCTTGGAGGAACTGGGTTTGGAAAGCTGGCAGGACAACTGAGAGCCCATGATAAGGCAACCACATCACCTCGTGAGATTGTAAAAGTCAGAGGTTTAGTTGTTAATGGTGGTATATTCTTTTGTATTTCTTTACCTACTAGGAGATACAAGGCCACAGAACCTTTCATTGGAAAAGAAAAAGTCTTACCTTCTGAAGAGAGGGATTCTTATAATCATAAGAGAAATACATTTCCTGAGTTCCAGGACATTTTATTTAATAACAGAATTTTGATAGAAGCACAATTATTAAATGTATAAATGGACTGTAAGATAAATTCCAATTTCAGAAGTGCGAACACATGAAACACATCTTAGAATTGAGGAAATTTTATGTGTCAGCAGACGGTAGCTTTCTGAGGCAGGCAGCTTTCTGAGGCAGGCAGTGGATGAGACAGCTTTTTATCACCATTTTACAGAGGGGGTAAAAGATAACTGGAGGGGGTTCCTAACTAGGAAGAGGTATCTGAATTTGGTTCTATTTGCAAATATTTATTTTTAATAAATCAGATTGGGAAAAGGTAATATCAGAATATCTTAATATTTTATATTTGCACACACCACTCCCACTTGAATTCCTTGTTACCTTACATAATAATGGGATGATAGTCATTGTAGTTGGAAAGGTGGATCTAAAAATTCCTCAAACAAAAAAAAAGGGGGGGAGTAGGGCTGGACTCCTGCCAATCTGCTTAATGGATTATTGCTCACTTTAGTCTTTGTTTCCCTCAGATGGGGTAGAATTTAAAGCATCAATTCAAACATGATTGTTGTTTGCTTGTGTCTTGGTGAATAAAGCATTTAAAAAAGACAATGGTCCGGATCCTGTTCTGACATGAATGCCTGTGATTACAGGAGGATTTAGGGGGCTCTTTGGGATCGGTAATGTGAGCTCTGATCCTTGTTAGTCTCCCCGGGGTTAGTTTAACCCATCACCTTGCAATTCTACCTACTCAGCTCTGAATGGCCCACTATGCCTGGTGAAGGGAAACAGGAATAATCACAAAAGAACCCATAAGTATGAAGTTCCACACTAGCATGCCTGTAGGTGCAGGTGGGTTGTGTGACATCCCACCTTTGCACGGAGCTCCTGTATCTGTCCATGTTAGGGGTGGATGGCCAGGGACTTCCCTGACTTTGCCTTCTGTGGATCTAAGCAGGCCTCGAGACGCATCAGCACAGGAGAATTATTTAAAGTGCTTCTCCTTGGCATTGAATACATAATTCCTTCTCACTTTCTTTTCCTTTCTTTTGCTAGTCTACAGATTCATATTTCCCAAAAGGAGAAAACAAGAAAAAAAAATGCCTAGCGCGATTGAAATCAAGTTGGGCTAGTAAAGAAGGGAGCTTGGGGCTCACATGCCCTGGTTGGTCCCATGGCTGCATTTATGGCCAGGTAAGTCAGCCCCTCCTGTACTACTGTCTTCTCTATGCAGCAGGCTTCTTTCCGGACTCTTCTTTTTTTATTAATAAGTGATGAGCTATTTCCCAGTGTAGTTCAGGGTTGGATTGACCTTGGAATCCCTCGTGTAGAGAGAGGGTGTAACCTGTTTCATTTGGGGAATTGGCTAAAAACGGGCCCATCCTTCAGAGGTGGAACCCTGGGAAGGCAGGGTGGAGTCCGTGGGACAGTGGAGCTGGAGGCATCTGGGGTCCAGGACGGTTTATCTGGTGACACTGTGACCTCTGTAAAGGAGGACAAACACCTTGTCCTCCCTCACCCATCCAATCTTCATGGCTGAGGCCCCCGAGACAAAAGACAAATTAACAGAGAAAACTGCTAACTTATTTAATATATGCTTTACATAATTTAGCAACCGTCATCAGGAAATAAGAACCTCCAGAGACATAGTTGAAGTTGTATATTTTTATGCTGCTTGATGAATAGTGAGGAATCATGGAGAACTATTGTTGGACAAAAGGGATATAATCTAATGGTAATAAACTTATGGGGAGCTGGGCATGTTGGTGCAGTCTTGTAATCTCAAAATTTGTGAGGCTGAGTCAGGAGGATCTCTGAGAGTTCAAGGCCAGCCTGAGCTACACAGTGAGTTCAAGGCCAGCCTGAATTATATAGTGGGACTCTGTCTTTAACAAACAAATGAACAAATAAAAACAGACAAAACTTGAGGGAACTAAACCAGGCCTACTTGTTTGGCTTGTTCCCTATGATTCTGTGTCTTCAGAGATAAGGACACACTTTGTCTCTGGGTATAGGGAGGGTTTTTATGACTTGCGTCAGAGGAAGGGCAGATACTCCTCCCTAGGTTAGGTTTTATGACCTGTCTCAGGGAGAAGGACAGAGTGTAGAAACTGAGTGACCTTCTTACACCTGCTGTTTTCTCAAATGCTTCGGGGTAGCATGTCCTGGACTGCCTGAGGGTGGCAGAGGATCACTCTATTCCAGTGCCTGGCAGTTGCAGAGGAGGAGTCCTACCAACCCCTCACCATCTCCGCTTCAGGGACAGTGCCTACAGCTTTCTACTTCTCTGTGTCCTGTGGTTTTCTGCAGGGAAGGCTCAGCCACCAGCAAGATCCTCATCCCCTCCTGCCCAGTAACATATCCTTTAGATGTCCAGCAACAATGGATCAGTGCTGTCTCATGTCAGGTAATTGAAAGAGCTTTACTTTGAGGATGGCAGCCAGGTTGACCAGCTGCCCTTTTCTGAGGTGTGCATGGGAGAAAGGATTGCAAATATCTATATATTTATTAACTTGGAATTTTCTGGTGCCTTACAGGTCACTTTAGAAGAATGAGATTTTAGCCAGCTTCTGTGCCTCAGGAATGATGCAACAAATGGAATGCTGCTTGTAGAGCAAATCAGGATAGGATCAGGAAGACACTGCCCCCACAGGACCATCTGGGAGAGAAGACTTAGAGAAAGATCGACTGGGCTTCTGAACTGTACATTTGCATTCTGGTGTTGGGGCTGAGGCAGGTTTAGTTACCTCCTCCCCCGCCAATATGTAGAATGATAGGCCTAACACCTGCTACTTGTGAGTCTCTCCATTTGAAACTTGTGAGAATCAGCACCACTTTGTTTGTTTTTCCAGTACTGGGAATCGAACTCAAGACCTTGTGCTTGCCAGGCAGATGCGGTGCCGCTGAGCTGTATCCCCGACACCAGCACCACTTTGAAAAATCTGTCACCAGTATCTCTCCCAATGCCCCAACATCCTCTGCCCAATTCTTTGCTCGAATCAACTTGGTAAGAGTCTCCACTTTTCCTGCCCTAAACTTGTGGCCAAATATTCCATCTCATGCATGTTTGTGAAATCTATAATGGGGCCCAGGATGTATAAGACATATGTAGGAAGATGTCAAATTTTGTGCAAATGGAGAAATTCTCACCCCAAATAACAACCTACCTTTAATTAGCTCACAATTTTACTCCAGCAGAAATGACTAAATTTCTACAATTTTTTCTATTTTTGTTATCAAATTTTAAAAGATTTTTTTCTTTTTCAATCTGAACCATTCTAATGAACTTTTCATCTTGCTTTGTCATTCTAGCACAGATATCCTAGTAGTTCAAATAAATGTAGTAGAGCCTTTTATGGTCTGAATGTTCATGTCCCCCTAAAATTCATATGTTGAAATCTTGAGCCCCAAGATATTAGAAGGTGATATTAGAAGGCGGGGTCTTTAGGAAGTGATTATCTAAAAGATTAGAGCCCTCATAAATGGGATTAATGTACTTATAAAACAATCCAAAAGTCATAATGTCAAAATAAAAGGAATAATAATGCAAAAATAATGACAGACAACATAAAAGGAAACATAATGCAGGAAAAGACCTTACAAGAAAAGTTTGAAAGAAATATTGAGTAGAATAGATGCTCAAGCCTGAGGTGGTTCCTATAAAATAGTAGATAGAAGAAGTCAAGAGAATGCACAAGGCCAAAACCTTGAAATACCAGTAAAGTTGATTTAGTGAAAAGGATTGTTTGGGGCTTGGATCTGTGCAGATGTGTGTAATCTTGACTGATACTCATGCTTTAAGCATAGTTTATGCATCACTACTCCTCTCAGTTTTTGATAGTTGTGCAAATGAATCACATGGGCTGAACTCGGTGGTCAGTGGTGTGGGGTTGAACAGGAAAACCCAAACTGTCACAAAATGTTGCCTAGAGCTTCCTTTACCCAAGCAGGCAAAGACAAGCCCAACTCGCACAAGCTCTTCTAAAACCTCCAAGGCTTCAGCTTCAGTTCTTTGTGACATAGCTTAGCTCCCATTCTAGGGATGGCGAACCTTGGCACACGGGCCGCAGCGGGTACGCACAGCCCTCTGTCGTCAGAAGAGCCAAGTCGTCCAGCAGCAAGCATGAGAGAACAGTTGTGTTTTCTATATGAAAATCCCAGTATTCAGGTTTAATTGCAGTGTTGGCACTTTGCAATGAACACATGGATTCTGAGTTGCAGTTTGGGGACTCGGTCTCTAGACGGTTCGCCATCATGGTTCGCCATCGCTGAATGACCATATTGTAGTGAAGGTAGATCTATTTTGGCTATTCCTGGCTTTGTCTTTCAGATGGTACCTCAGTAATCCTTTATATTCCTTTTCTCTCCATTCTTCTCTCTTCTCTTTGACATCGTTTTCCTCCTCTTCTTACTTAGCGGGCGGTATAACCACATATAATTTTAATGTGTAAATGAATTGCCTAGGGATCTGGCTAACACGCAGATCCTGCATTTCTGGCGGGGTTCCCGTTGATGCTGATGTGGCTGATCCTCTGAGACTCACATTTTTGGGTTTGGATTATAGAAAGATGATTCAGCACAGGCTTCTGAGTGTGTCCTGGGTTCAAATCTGTTTTTCTCTTACTAGCCGTGTGACTGTGAGCAGGGTGTAAACCTTTTGGCTCCTCTGTAAAATGAGATATTCACAGCATCTATTACATAGTTATCACGACGGCTAACGAGGTAGATAACGTCGCGGTGTGCAGCGCGCATCGCAGCAGGCAGTCAGGGAGCTCTCAGGATTCGCTCAGGACTCGGTAACGAGGCCGCCGGGCGTGGCAAACGGCGGGAGGGGCGGGGCGCCGGTTTTGGGCATGCGCTCCCGGATGCGCATGCCCCAGAGCGCATGCCCCAGGTAAGAGGGCGGCCGGCTGCTCCTAATGTGAGGGCTGAATCCTTGGTTGTCAGTGCGACGAGTGGGCGAGTGTTTTGTGTGTGTGTGTGTGTGTGTGTGTGTGTGTGTGTGTGTGTGTGTGTGGTGGGAGATTTTCCAGGTTCTCGGACCATGCAAAGGGCGAAAGACACGCACTTGTCACCTCTAGCTCGTGGGAGGTGGCGGGGGACTGGCCCGAGCGTTTCCGGGTGGCGGCCCCGGCCGGGAGAGGAGTGGGCGGGAGCGGCCCGGCGTCTCTTGCGGCTTGCTTGGCGCTGTGTTCGGTGAAGCACGTGCTGGGGAGCCTGCCTCCGCGGGTGGACTGAGACGTGGCCTGGAGGCGCTGAGCCTGGCGGGGCGCTTCCCAAAGGCGCAGCCGCAGGTCGGGGTTCTGGGCGCGCGCTGTGCGGGGTTCTCCGCCTGGCAGCCCCGCTCCTCCGTGAGGCGGCGGATCGCCTCATTTCCAGCGTCCTTCTCGCAGTCCAGGCTGTGTGTGCCTCTGGGGATCCCCCACCCCGCCCCGACAGTGTTCCTGGGTGGTCTATACCCTAAGGGCCTTGTCAGCCGCCGGAAACACCCCTGAAACCAAGGGAGTGGAACGGAACGTGTCCACCAGTTAAGGGAGGTAAATGCTTTATTATACAGTGTTACCAGGGCTTTTATTTGTTAGGATCACCCTCTCCTAACAAAAGCCTTGCTTGGATTCCTTAAGGTGTGGAACTGGCCACAGGCAGGGTGTGTGTGTGCGTTTGCGCGCGTCTTTTCCCTGCCCCTCCAACATGAAAAATAACCCGAGAAGACTCCGTACTGAGCACGTCTCACTTTGTCAGTAATGTGCAGCATTGTGGAGTATAGCTCTGCACATCTGCTCAGCCACCTCTTGGTTGTGCCTGAGTTTTTTGTTGTTTTTTTGGGGGGGAGCAGGGATCGAACTCGGGTCCTTGCGCTTGCGCAGCAGGCGGCGAAACCACTGAGCTAAATCCCGGCCCATGCCTGAGTTCTTTTTAACTCCATTGATTGCATCGTTTCTTTTAATAATAATTTTGATGGGGGGGGCTGGGTGATAACATCAAAATGGAATTTTGGGGGAAGGACATCTTGTAATAATAATCTCATATTCAGTCACCTTCCCCCTCAGGTATTGTGAAAATGAAACAGAAGCAAAAGGAGTAACTGCCTGCCTGTGAGCAGACAGCTAGGCCTGAGGAGTACTAGACAACTAGTCTTGTCTACAGAGCACATGTGGAAGAATAGTAAAATCCAAAATTACAAGCTACTGGTTCTTCTGTTTTTGACTTTCAGGTTATATGGAAGCAGAGTAAAAACATGGGCTTATGTTTCCTGTATTGAGAAAGAGGCCTATTCTGATTTTTTTATTATATAGCCATTTTCCTTGCTCAGCTTTAGAAAAAGAGACGGCCCCCCCGCCCCAATCCCTTGACCTTTTTTTGGTGGTGGGAATTGAACACAGGACCTGGGACATGCTAAGTGTACCTGCCACTGAACTACACTCTCAGCCCAATAAACCACCTTCCTTGATTAGCCTTTTTTTTTTTTAGGTACCAGGGATCAAACTCAGGACCTTGCACTTATGTGATTGTGGCACCACTGAGCTAAATCCCTGGCCCCTTGATTAGCTTTTAATTATAGGGAAGGAGTTAAGATCTAAATTGCAGTTTTGCCACTTATTGGGTCATAACCCAATCAGTTTTTCTCCTCATGTATTGTAGCCTATGGGCCCTATGAATCACAATTATTTGGGGTGTTTCTAAATAAAAGCCTTCCTGGGGTGCCAAGCCCAGCTTTGCTGAATCAAAATCTGGAGATTTGGGAGTAGAGAACTGAAGGCTGAGGTTCAGGAATACACCTTTTATTTTATTTTATTTTAAAGACAGGGTCTTGCTTTGTAGGGCAGGCTGGCCATGAACTCACTATGTAGCTCAAGAGAGTGCTGGGATTACAGGTGTGTGTCACCATGCCTTATTTTAAATAAGCCTCTGTGTTATTTTTTTTTTTTTTCTTTTTGGTACTGGGGATTGAACTCAGGACCTTGCGCTTTCGAGGAAGGCTGTGGAACCACTGAGCTAAATCCCAGGCTTAAATAAGCATCTTAAGTAATGCAATTAAAGACAATATAACTCCTTAGGAACAAGAAACAATTAGTTTATCTCATATCTTTGGTTTATTGTGTCCCTTACACATGGAAATCGAAAACTATATAGGACAGCCTAAAAACAATGTACAGTAAATTTGAGATCTTATTCCTATATAAACTTTTCAAACAGGGTTGAGTCAGTTTTATAGGTATAAGTAAGTATGCTAATTCAAGGTCACACATAATTGTTATTGTTAAATTTAGGATGGCTCGCTCTATGGAAGCACTGGCAAAGAAGATCTTTAAAGGAATTTTAGTAGCTGAACTTATCGGCGCTTTTGGAGCATATTTTTTGTTTAATAAGATGAACACAAGCCAAGGTAATCACAATTCAGAAGTTAATGCTTTCTAGAGAAGTATAGTTTGCTAATGCATTTTAGGTGCAAATGCTAGTGGCATTTGTGGTGAAAATTTGTGTGGATTCAGCATATTAGATCTTTTTATGGGCAGAAGGGCAAATGAGATTGCTGTTGGCTAGAGGACTCATCTCCCTTATTAACATGTTTCACACTTCCATGCACTTTACTAGTTGGGAAGGAAGAGCAAGTGTCCTTGGTCTGGCATAGTTTGGGAGGCAGATAGGTGGAGGAAACAGCCTGCCCATTACAATTCCTTGTTTGGTAGACTGAGAAAGAGGTGACATCACTGTATTCTGACAATACCACTTTCTTGGACTATACTAAGTATTCTTTGTCTGAGTCAACAGTGGGCACTGACGCCTTTCTCACACATCACTGGAAGTATATGTACTGAAGCGAGCACTCACACATCACTGAAAGTACTTAAACATTTTAAAATTTTTGTATTAGGGCCCCCAATTTTTAAAATTAGGAAGTACTGTTTTTTATTTTCCTCAAGCATATCCTTGTGATTGTCTTTGAAGTTTGTCACTTGCCTTTGTCAGAGTAGTTTACTGGAACATTGGTGCAGGGTGCTGCTATTGGGTATTCAGTCTATACTTTTAAACATCCCAATAGTTATTTCAAAGGAAATTACAGTTTGGGATCAAACTCTAATACTGTGTATGATCTTATTTCTAATTTGTCAAGGTAAAAATGACGTCCATTAAAAGAACCCATTAAGTTACCCAAGAAAATATATTGAAACTAGAAATCTGCTTTCAAATATTTAAGTAGAACTGTATCACATATACAGAACAAATTTTAAGGACTCTAAAATAGCTGTAAGAAGGCTCCATGTTAAAGCAAGTATAATTTTAAATCTTAGTTCCTGGATTACCAGGATCTTAAAACAAATTTCTGACCTGATTCCAATTGTCTAGATCCTAAAGCATCAAATCATAGCTGTGTTGATATAGTGAATTTCTGATTATATCTAATTAAGGCTTCTCTTTTTCATCAGATTTCAGGCAAACAATGAGTAAGAAATTTCCTTTCATCTTAGAAGGTATGTTTTCCCTTAAAGAACAGAACAATTTTTTCAGATAAACTGTAGTAATTTCTTCACAACCAAAGATGAAATGACTATATTGTGATCTGTCAGTTTCCAACAATACCATTCCTTCCTATTGTAGTTGCAAGACCAAGAGGGGAAATTCTCACCTAGTTACCTACATGTGAGCACAGTTGGTTAATTGGCTGGATTCTTAATTCTTCCAATGGTTAAGAACAGACTTCAGAATAAGATGTATCAAAGGTGGTGATGGAAGCAAATCACATCTTAAACCTTTGGTTTTAAGACTAGTTTTATCTCAGGTTTGCTAACTTCTTAGAGCTGTTTCTTTCTCTGTCTAGTATAGAGTTAATCTCTACCTCATGGGATTGTTAGGATTAAACAAGAAGACATTATGTACTTCAAAGTACAGTACTGGTATAAAGTAACACTTATTCATTACAATAATTAGTGGAGTGGATAGAGCTTGTACATGAAATATGTAACCCTATGTAGTCCTTTTTATTATGTAGCAACATGAAAAGTGATTTTTTTTTTCAATTTAAGTTTATTTTAACATTTGTACATGGTATTATAAATGACAGCTACTTTTATTTATAGTTTATTACAAATCCATTGAACAGTCTGGAATTTATGGAACCAGAGAGCAAGATCAAGAAAAATGGTTGGCTAGCAAAAATTAGGCGTAAGTAGAATGTTATTATTTACTTTAATGACTCATTTCCTTTGCTTTTTAGCTTTTTGAGTGTTTGGTCTCTTCTTTTTAAAGTTTTTCTTTTTCTTGATGATACTTCTCACATCTCTGTTGTGTATCCAGTCGTCACGTTCAGCCTCCCATCTAAGCTGTTTGAGACCTTTAGGAGAAGAAAGATGAGTTCACCATGCTGTGGACACTGGACTCCCACAGGGCTCCTGCCGGACAGCAGGACTTCAGGTCGCCCATGGCACGCAGCTCCCACCCACTAGGCAAACCCACCACCTGTTCATTGCTCTTCTACTTTTATTGTCTAAGATTAATATTTTATAAATAAAACGCTAAGGAAGGAAAACGAACAAATGCTCTGTAAAGATTTCCTTTCTCTTGAGTACTTTTACTTGTGAAAGAAAACTATTAATATCAGAAATAATTAAAGATATTTAAGCACATAAAGTTACGTTTAGCAAGCTTATACTATATACAAGTAGCATGCGCTGCACTATAAAACCCAATTTTTGTAGTATGTAGTATTTTTTGCTGTGGTCTAAATACTTTTTAACCTTGTATTATCCAGAGGGGGAGATATGAAAAAGCCATCCCTTCTAGATTGTAGGGAACACTAAAAAAGGTCCTCCAAAAATATCCATTTTCTAGTTCTAAGTGGAGGCTATTTTATTCCCCCACCTTTGTGGTACTGGGAATCAAATCCAGAGCCTCACAGCACACGAAGCAAACACTCTGCCACTAAACTACATCCCCAGACTACTGTACAAACCCCAACCGAAAATTCAAGTTACTTACTTGCGTTATCTTTGTTAGCCATGGCATTCATGCCAATGTTATCAAATCTGGATCCCATATTTTCATCCAACAAGTGGCCAAACTTAAAAACAAAGAAATGTATTTATTAGAAAACTTAACACAGAATGGCTACCTTCTTAAAGCAGTACATTAGGCTTACCTCTTCAGCAGATACAAATAGGCTGGAGTTGTTGAGGTTTCGTTTCTTTTTCTTTTTTGGTCCTAAAAAATATATGTTTTTATTATTCATTTCTAAATCCAGTGATTTTGGAAAAATACACTTTTCAACATGATTTTATTTAAAAATTCTATTTGGGTAAAAATACAGTTGCAGTCATCTGCTAGGAGAAATTCTGTAGTATCAGTAAGATTAAAATTCTAATGATGACATAGATGGGTTCTGGAACATTTAAAGCAAAACTTAAATTTAATTCAGCTATTTATTTATTGGATTATGAAAAAGATGGTTGAACATGTTTATTATGTTATCAAAGAAGTTGTATCATACTTTATTATCATAGTTTATTCCACTGGCTGAATTAATACGGCATTGTATGGATATACCAGATTCCATTTATCCATTCATCAGTTATTGGACATTTGGCTTGTGTCTCCTTTTTGGTATTTATTAATAATGCTGTTATGAACAATCAGGTACAAGTCTTTATGTAAACATGTCAGAGCCACTTTTGATAAAATAGTTTCTAAAGCATTCCATCTCAGTTTTTATTAATCTGAAATTTATGTTATATATAACTGTGAACACCCATATGTATAACATTGGGAAGTATTTTTTTTGTTGTTTTCATCCATCCTGTAGATATCTATCTGTATCTCAGTAAGAAAGCACTTCTTAGTTTCCTTAAGGATTGTTTACTCTTAATGATACTCAGTATCTGTAGATGTACAGTAATACCCAAAGGACCAATTAATTATTTTTTTTGTTTTTGGTACCAGGGATCGAACTCGGGACCTTGCGCTTGCGAGGCAGGCGCCAGAATCACTAAGCTAAGTTCCCAACCCAGGACCAATTAAACCTGTATAAACCCCCTATTTTAACCAATTCTGTCAGGTGTCTTTTAACCAGTAGCCCAAAATGTTATCAATGAACATTTGAAATCTTCTTAGGGTAATACCTGAAATAAGCATTTACTATTCAAAACAAGGCTACTGAAGGAGAATCTTTTAATACCCAGTTCAGCAGGACTTGAACTGGCACAACATTTCTATACTGAGGGATTATCTTGAGGAAAACGGTTTTGTATTGAGCACGTTATTAAGTCATCTTATATCACAAGGGAAGACAAGATCTGGAAAGTAATGTGTTATAATTTAAATATTTACCAGTTAAATCATCTGGCTATTAGAGGATACTACTAGTAGCATTTTAAAGAGCTCATATAAATTCTGTGGATCTAAGTATCTGAGGAACTACTACCAATATGTAACTAAAATAATAAAAAATTATTTTTATTTAACTTTAAAGTCTACTTATATTCATTAATATTTACCAATAAGCAGAAGCTAGAAAGACTAGAAGTAAATAATGCAGTGCTTCCTACATTTTTATTAAAAACTTAAAACTATCACCTGATACATTTTCATTAGCATCTGACAAGTGTTATACTGTAAAGCACAGTACTATAAAAAAAGGTCAGAGAACAAATTAGCAGAAATAATTCAGATCTTCTAGTTATATATTTTGAGATTAGAATTGTTTTGGCAATATAAAAAATAAAGGAACACAGATTTTTATAAGGGTCAAATGACAAAGAATAACAATTGGTTGAGAAAAAGAAAGGCAACAAGAACGTTGAAAATTTAGGGTTTACATATAATTTGAATGCTTTAAACATGGATGAAGAGAGGCTCTAGATACATTTAAATGTGAGAGAGCATAGGAAGAGAAAAACAGATATATGGGAAATACTATAAAAACATCTTTAACAAAACAAAACGAAAAACCTAAATTATACCAGCAAATTAGAAAAGCTTATTTCTCTTGTTTTCACATGGACACTGCTTAGGTTTAAGAAAAAGTATATGAATTTTCTTACCTTCAAATGAACCAGCAAAGTCAAAATCGCCAGTACCTCTTCTTTTATTTCTCTTAGCACTGTCTTTGGAGTTGACTTCATCAAGTTCTGTTATCCAAGAAAAAAATGCTATGAAGTAATTGAAGAACAGAACTGGAAAATACTACTTCACAGTATGCTAAAATCTTTAGTCCCATGGCAACATACTGTAACACAGTTCCATGTGGATTTCATGATTCTGTAATTCCACTAGTACAGGCTTTGGGGATGGAGTGAGGATCAAGACCTACAAGTAACTGGTACAGTTCTGTATTTTGTGCAAGCACACAATTTACCAAATACCATTATTATTGAGACAAAATAATGCAAACTCCTTAAAAGAAGAACTTCTCCTGTGGCCCAGAATAAGTAGCAGGATACTGGGTAGGTTTGTGTACACTGGTGATTAGAAAACAGCCCAAAGATACAATTTTGGGTGCACTTTGCTAATTTATAACAAGATATAATGTGGCTGGGGATTTAGCTCAGTGGCACTGCACCTGCCTTGTAAGTGCAAGGTTATGAGTTTGATTCCTGGTACCAGAATAAATAAATAAATATAAAAGTCAAACACAAAACTGAGCCTATTTTAAAAAAAGACAGACAAAAACCTTTTCATAAAAACCTTAATTTCCAAGTAAGGCAAAAGGTCCCTTTTGTGTTTCTTGAGTATATGAGTATTAATATGAATACAGGGCCATATTAAAAACCTTTACTAGGAAAACTAGCCATAAGAGTAAGGAAAGAAGATACAGTTTGTGACTTAGTTTTAAAAACTGCTGACCTGGAATGCCTTCACTTTCATCATCTGATACATCCATGAATGTTCCTGCATCTTCATCAATTTCAGCAAATTCTTCATCCATACTTCCTAAAGAAACTTCTTCATCATCCAAGTTAGCAAATTCATCATCACTACCCTCTGAATCTTCATCTTCACAGTTATCCTTAGCTCTTTTTGTTTTCTTTTTCACATTGCTGGAAAAAACCCAAAACTTGTAAAAGAGGGCTATATTTTGATGACTAACAGAGTAGTTGGCTGTTAAATGACTTAAAATGAGAATTAAGACTGCTCAAAGTATAATAATACGCATTATAAAAGTCAAAATTAGAAGTTCTATACTCATACTACCCAGAGTTGGCTGAATACATTTTCCCTGTACTTTTGAGGTATACTGTTCTAAGAGAACAATTTCAGAAATGCTCGGAAAACAGTAAAGCGATTAAAGAAGAGTATATTACCTTACAAAATCAAGATCATCCGTTCCACCAGTGTAATAGTTATCATCTTCAAATGTGTCTGCCAGAGAGTATGCACATTGTGAGATAGAGCAGAGAATAACAAGGTCAGTGTGTTGCAATTGGGCTGACTATGCTCACAGTCACAATTCTGTTTACAACAAGGATCAAAATGATATAAATATGACTACTGCTGCTGTGTCTCATAAATGTATATAAGCCTGTGAAATACCGATTTTCATGAAATCTCTAAAGTGACTTCCAGCTAATTCCAAATTCTTTCCAGTTTTTTTTAAATGGAAAAAGACAAATAACATTTAGTAATTATATTTCTTTTTACTGTAGAACTACAGTATTTAAGCACTCATTACTTTTTTTTTTTTTTTTGGTACCAGGGATCGAACTTGGGACCTTGCACTTTTGAGGCAAGCAGCAGAACCACTGAGCTAAATCCCTGGCCCTCTATTATGATTTTTATAATATACATAGCTAGTGATTTTAAAAAACTAAACTCAATTATAATAGATTACAAACTGAGAGTCAACAAAAGAAAATTACCAATCATCTTTTCAAATTCCTCATCATCCACATCTTCTATACTTTCTTCATCTGCATTCCGTTTTTGTTTCTCTTTTATAATAGCAGCTTTTTTATAATACCTAAAATAAATGTCATATATTTGATAATTTTATGAAAGGCCGAAGCTTATTATAATCAAATAAAGCACCTATGACCAGTGACAAACCACAATTATAAAAGCGTGTTATAAACTGGTCATAAACCACTGGTCATAAAAGTGTGTTATAAACTGGGTGTAGTGGTTCACGCCTATAATCCCAGCACTATGGGAAGGTAAAGCAGAAGGGTCACAAGTTGGAGTCCAGGCTGGGCAATTCGGTGAGAGCCTGTGTCAAAATAAAAAAGGAAGCCGGGCGTGGCGGTGCACCCCTGGAATTCCAGCACTTGGGAGGCCAAGGCAGGACTGATACAAGTTCAAGGCCAGCCTGGACTATGTAGAGTTCAAGGTCAGCCTGATCTACATAGCGAGACCATATCTCAACCTCTCACCCCCCAAAAAGGGCTGGAGATGTAGCACAGTGTGAAGGCCCTGGGTCCAGTCCCAAGTAACACAAACAGACACGGCTTATTATACATATTCAACTGGATATAAATGAGTAAAATAGCTTTGAACCCAATGAGAGCTATAAACATTTGAAATGTGAAGTGCAATAAATTTCAAAGATC